GAGACAGAGCCTCAAGCTGTCCCCCTGGTTAGAGTGCTGTGGCCTCACAGCTCACAGCAACCTCCAACTCCTGGGCTCAAGCGAGTCTCCTGCCTTAGCTCCCAAGTAGCTAGGACCACAGGCGCCCACCACAACGCCTGGCTATTTTTTGGTTGCAGCCACCATCATTGCTGTTTGGCAAACCCGGGCTGGATTCGAACCTGCCACCTTAGGTATATGTGGCTGGCACCTTAGCCACTTGAGCCACAGGGTTTTAAAAATGGGTTTAAGTGGGTTTTTTAAAAATGAAAAGCTAATCTAAGAATAAAATTCTCTACTTTCCTAACTTCACTGATTTTTTTCTTTTAAAGAAGGAAATTTGTTTTGTATATTACTGTTTTCTGTAGTGCTTAGGATAGATAGATACTTAGTAAATTTTTGTTGATTTAAAAATTGAATTTGGTGTTTTAGATTATAGTTAACATTAAGGTGTCATTTTATTAATTTGTTTAGTGTAATAAAATTTAGGAATAGGACAAATGCAGCAAAAATATTTTGTAAAGCAAGTGTTTGACAGCTTGTTGGCAGTACTGTTGGTGGTATAGTTTAATTATCTTTTGGCATATTATAATTAGTATACTATGAAAAATGCTGTGTTGTATGTTAGAAATGTAATCTAGGCTTTTAACTTCTTTTAATTATTATCTTGAGGTCTGTGTTCGTTCTTCTCTGTTTTTCTTACCTCACTGGGTTTCTTCTGTATACTAACTTCTCCTTTTCCTCTTTCGTTTCCCAATACCACTATTCTCAGGTAACATCAGCAAGTTTCATATTGTTTCAGTTTAAACAGATTTCACCATACCCTCTTCACAAATATAAAGATAAATCAAAAGTACTTGGCTTAATTTTGAAATTTAGGAACAAAAATTAAAGTGTTTTTGCCTGGCTCGGCCCCATGGCACGGTGGTTACGGCACCAGCCACACACACTGAGACTGGTGGGTTTGAACTTGGCCTGGGCCAGCTAAACAACAATGATAATTACAATAAAAAGTAGCCAGGCATTTTGGTGGGCACCTGTAGTCCCACCTACTTGGGAGACTGAGGCAAGAGAATGGCTTGAGCCCAAGGGATGGAGGTTGCTGTGAGCTGTGATGCCACAGCACTATACTGACGGTGACATAATAAGACTGTCTCCAGGCTCGGTGCCTGTGGCTCAAGCGGCTAAGGCGCCAGCCACATACACCTAAGGTGGCGGGTTCGAATCCCCAGCCCGGGCCCGCCAAACAACAATGATGGCTGCAACCAAAAAAAATGGCCAGGCCTTGTGGCGGGCGCCTGTAGTCCCAGCTACTTGGGAGGCTGAGGCAGGAGATTCGCTTGAACCCAGGAGTTGGAGGTTGCTGTGAGCGTGATACCATGGCACTCTACCCCGGGGGATAGCTTGAGGCTCTGTCTCAAAAAAAAAAAGACTGTCTCCAAAAAAATAAATAAATAAAAAATAAAGTGTTTTTGCCTAATTTAAATAAGACCCATTCTTCTTAGCATAGAATTTATGTGAAATGGCCCAGATGGGATGGGAACTAGTTTGACTACAGAGAAGTTATATGACCTTTCATAGGACTATTTGTTTATTTATTTATTTTTTGAGAAAGAGTCTCACTTTGTCACCCTTGGTAGAATACCATGATGTCAGAGCTCACAGCAACCTCAAACTCTTGAGCTCAAGTGCTTCTCTGTGTTAGCCTCCCAAGTAACTGGAACAACAGGTCTTACTATGGCTCAGGCTGATCTTGAACCTGTGAGCTCAGGTAATTGTCCCACCTCAGCCTCCCAGAGTGCTAGGATTACAGGTGTAAGCCACTGCGCCAGGCTCTCACAGGACTTTTTAAATCTATATTCCTGGCAAAATTAGAGGTATGACCATTATTTATATATGATCAGTACTCTCCTATGACATAACAAATTCAGAAATGAGCCCTATCGGGAAATTCTTTCAGGTTTTCTTGTTTCTTCCTTTACTGTCAGTCTCTGACTGTCTACTATGTAGATCTACTAAGGGAAGTCTTTGTAGATTTTATGCTGGTGATGCATACTAATTGTGAGTTGTAAAAGAAACAGAAAAAGTAAGGCAGTGGGGAAAGAAGTGATGCAGCTTTGACTCCTCTGATATTGTCATCTGTAGGCACATACCTATTGATACCCAAGGAGGTGCCAGAGACAGGAGAAGTTAAGGATACCATTACCCCTACCCCCCTTTTTTTTTCTTGAAACAGAGTCTCTCTATGTTGCCTTCAGTAGAGTGCCCTGGCATTACAGCTCACAGCAACCTCGAACTCTTGGGCTTAAGTGATTCTCTTGCCTCAGCCTCCCAAGTAGCTGGGACTACAGGCCCCTGCCACAACACTCAGCTATTTTTTTGTTGTTGTTGTAGTTGTCATTGTTGTTTAGCAGGCCCGGTCTGGGTTGGAACCTTCCAGCCCCGGTGTATATGGTCCACATCCTAACCACTGAGCTATGGGCAGGGCACCGAGGCCATTGCCGTTTTTATGAAGAGATAACATGTTGGCCAGGTGTGATGGCTTACAACTATAATGCTAGCCCTGTGGGAGGCTGAGGCAGGTGGATTGCCTGAGCTCAGGAATTCGAGACCAGCTTGAGCAAGAGCAAGAGCAAGATCCCCTCTATTCTAAAAATAGAAAAGTATCTGGAGTAGGGTGACCAGACGTCCTGATTTTGGCAGGACAGTCCTGCTTTTCAACAATTTGTTTCATGTCCCGCGGCGTTTTAAAAAAGTCCCGATTTTTGGAAAGAATGCACGAACAGGCTGGAGAGCAGAAAGGGAATATACAGTTTTTGGCTGCCATGTGGCTATTTTGCCAGAATATAAGTTTTATATTATTTTTGTTAATTTTATAATGTTAAACTGTAATAACAAATAATTGCTGAGAAGTGATTATCGAGAACTGCTTACCAAGTTTGCATTGTTATCAGGCCCTGCCCTGCCCCGTCCCCTGTTCCGTCCCCCCCATGTTGTCCCGCCTCACAGATGTTAAAATCTGGTCACCCTAATCTGGAGCACTGTGGTTGGTGCCTGTAGCCCCAGCTACTTAGGAGACTGGCAAGAGGATTGCTTGAACCCAAGAGTTTTGAGTTTGCTGTGAGCACTCCACTCAGGGGGGTATAGTGAGACTCTGCTCCCCTTCCCCCCTCCAAAAAAAAGAGAGAGAGAGAAATAAAGTGCTTTTTTAAATATCATAAGCATTTTCTTGCAGCTCAGTAAAATTTACTTTTAATCACTTGGACTAGTAATTGTTAATTTGTAGTTAATTTCAGGTAGTTTATTGCTGGATGATTTTATGAGTTTCTTTTATTCAAGATCGATTCTTCAGTGTTCTCACCATTTAAAAAACTATATGTATATGTTAGGGTATACATATATCAGAACATCATATTGTGTATCAAAAATACATGTAATTTTTTTCAGTTATACTTTAAAGTTGGAAAAAATTATTTTCTGTTAGGACAATGTATTTTTCTTATTTTACTAAGCGTGGATCTCTTAACCTTTGATTTTAATCTGTTTAGCTCAGTCACATTCCTACTAAGAGATCAAAGGTTAATCTGTTTAGCTCAGCCACATTCCTACTAAGAGATCACTTATAATCTACCTGTTTATATGTAAATTTAACATAATGTAAATTTATGTATGTATGTAAATTTATGTATTTATGTATGTAAATTTAACATAAAATCAATTTGAGGCGGAGCCTGTCACTCAGTGAGTAAGGGTGCTGGCCCCAGCCAAACTGCAACAACCCCCCCCCCCAAAAAAAAACATAAAATTGATTTGTGTACCTGCTTCATTTGTTTGCTATCATTCTATTTGATTTAGTATAGTATTTTGCTTGGTACTTCTTTGTGGATTATAACTCTACTATGAAAGTATACAGATTTGCTAAGTTAGAAAAGATGTACTATGGCAGAAATATTTTTGTATATTACTATTTCTGAAAATCTTTAATTGCCAGTGATATATTCTGTAAGTTAAGAAAGTAATTGTTATTTCTTATAATGTAGACTTGTGATTATTTCACTATGTTTGTATATTTTTGGGTTATAGGAAATTGCTGACAAAGATGGAAACAATAAAGTTCTATCTTTCACTATCCCTTCCTTATCCAAGCCTTCAATATATCATGAAGTAAGTATCATGAAGTAAGTAACATTGGAAATGTTTTTAAAATTATATTGAGTAAGAGATAAAAAGTCAGTTTCTTACCAGAGTTAAATATTTTTAAAACATCTTTACTGATTTGCTTCTTAAAAATAGGTGTTTATTAACAGTGATGTAAGACTGAGCTGTTACAGAGAGGCAAAAAGTAATTAGTGGAAAATTTTCTTTTTCTTTCTTGTTCATTTCTTTATTCTTCTAAAAAGCTTTTTTATTAATCTTCTATGAATTTTCAAAATATACTTTAATTTTTAGGCTGGGTACAGTGATTCACACTTATAATCTTAGCACTCTATGAGGCTCAGGTTGGTGGATTGCTTGAGCTTAGGACTTTGAGACCAGGCTGAGCAAGAGTGAGACCCTCTGTCTACTAAAAACAGAAAAAGTTAGCCAGGTGTGGTGGTACAGGCCTGTAGTCCCAGCTAGTTGGGAGGCTGAGGCCAAGAGGATTGCATGAGCCCAGAAGTTTGAAGTTGTTGTAGGTTGTTGTGAGCTATGACCCTATGGCATTCTAGTCTGGGGCATCATTGTGAGACTCTTACCTCCAAAAAAAATAGGTAATTTGTTCCTTTTGTTTTGTTTGTTTTTGCAGTTTTTGGCTGGGGCTGGGTTTGAACCCACCACCTTCAGTATATGGGGCTGGTGCCCTACTCCTTTGAGCCACAGGCACCTCCCAAAATTTGTAATTTTTTAAAAGTCTCTCATATTGCTTAAATTACGTATATTAGATTGGGTTATTTTTATTCTTTAGAAAAATAACTACTTAGAAGAATTAGTGCTTTGTATTTCAGTTTAAAGGAATTTAATTGATGTATTCTGTTTGGTAATGTACTGTTTTGTTTTTTTGAGGCAGAGTTTCACTATGTCACCCTGGGTAGAGTGCTGTAGCTTCACAGCTC